TGCAAACTCAGTTGGGCACTGAACTCTGCTGAAATATGGGGGTGAGTACTGCCTGAGCCCAAACTCATGCATAAACCTCACTTGAATTTAATGCCATTTATACCCTAATTGATCGGATGTGCTCCAGGCCTTAGCTGCTTACAGATATTTAATGGAGAATTCAGACACAATTCTGCAACTTCCTACGTTTTGATATAATTTGTTAGTTTGTTTTAGAAACAGTCCTGTAGTTAGCACAAATCCACCTGGGAAGGAGGTGCTGTCTCCCTCTCCCAGGCCCTGGAAATATCAGCAAACATAATGTTTTTAAATATTTTAGAAACTCTGTGTCCAGAGCGACGACTGCATTTTAAAACTTTGATGGCCATTTATAATTTACAGCAGCATTTTAAAGGGTAAATTTTAGATGACAGCAACCTGTATGTTAATTGCCAAGAGTTCATTTGAAGGTGTGGTTTCAAGGCCTTTTATAGGAATTTGGAAGATACAAGGACGTCCTAGAAAGCAAAGCCAAGTTTCTCCCAGCTTGCTGTACAGGTACAACACTACTTTGCTGTGAGTTCATGGCAATAAAGGCAGTAAGGAAAAAGAAATACAAATGCCTTAAATTTTGAAAAGCAATCTCTGACTTGAAGTTCATGCTTTTTTGGCAGATTGTCATATCATGGTCAATCCCAACCACTGAATTTCTACACACATTAAGCAGCAGCCCTTGTGGCAGCACATATTTTATGCTCCCATCTGTCCTGAAACCCCACAATTTTCCATTTGTACGACACTTTACTGCCTTTTCATTATACACCTGGGAAGCAATGCTGATGGATTAGCAGTGCACCCAAATCAGAAACTGGCATCATCTCAGACTCTTGAGATTTACAACTGCTAAATAAATTGGGATACTTCTTTTAGTTCCTACTTTTCCTTTTTTAAAAATAAATCTTAAGAAAATACAATCCCAAAGGCCTAACAGGCACACATTTACAGATGGCAGCAGTGGGTCATAAATGACATCTTTTCCTGGTACTATTTATGAGAGCCAAAGAAACTGAACATATTACGAGCCATTTATAATGTTCTTCAGTAGAACAGTCAGCCAAGAGACAGAGCTGAAAGCCTGTTGTAACAAAAGGTATCAAAGTGAGGAGGAGAACAGTATCTATAATTACTACTCCGGTGATAAAACAAGCATAGTACAGCAGATGGATCTAACACGAGATCACTATTAAATAAAACACTGGCTCGAATGCCAAGGAATGAATATTCAAGAGCGAGTGAAATGAGTGAAAGCGTATGAAGGCAGCAAACGTAGCTCAGCTAACCTAGAAGTCACTTCTAACTCTAACCAAAAAGACCAAAACCACATAATTCTCAACACTGGTCAACCATCTCCTCTGCAGTCAAAAACTTTCAAGATATTAATCAACACTTATAGAAATGACAGGATTGAGCACACTGATGGCACAGGATCCTGACCATGTAACACTGATAAAAAAAGATGTAAAACTCAAAACCAAAACAAACCCCAAAACTAACAATATCAATTTGCAGAGCTTCTTCACTTACCGCTTCATAAACTTTTCAGTTCTTCATCAGAGACAGACTCAAAATCATCTTTTTGGCAGCTTCATAGCTGTAGAATATTGTTTGACAAATCACGAGCCAATCTATAATCTAAAAAAGTATTTCTATTCATTTTTAGAAGTTTTGAAAAATATTTTAAGGTCAGAAATAAGGCTGGAATTAACTAAAGTGACTAAGGCTGCACCATGGAATATGGAGCTGCAGTGCTCATGTTTTAGAGCAGGGCTCCAGCTCTCCGTGGGTTTGGAAGCAGTAGAAAGGATGCCATCACTAATGAGGCATTTTAAATAACTTTTTTTCTGTCAGCTCGCAGTGTTTTTTTAATTAAATGTTTCTGTAAAACTTAATTTCAGTATTAACTATGTAGTGTCTTCTTTAGCTTGAGACTCCACACTTCAAAAGCTTGACACTCACCTAATCAGCTCTTTTAAGATCATTTAAAGTATGCTACAACACAAGGAGAACAAGGAGAGGACAAACAGTAGTAACAGCAGAAGACACAAAATCAGAACCAATGTATATCATCACGATATCATTTCAGAGTAAAAAGGCATTGAACATCATAAAAGATTCAAACCTAAAATACCCAAACACCTTCTCAGTGACCCAGCCATACCCTTAAATGCATCAGACAAACCCGTCTGCAGATGCTGTGGCTGGAAACGCAAACCATTCAGCGGTGACTCTCCAGCTGCCCGGGCTCCCAGCAGGTTAGCTGACGTAGCAGGAAAACATGAGTGGGGCCTGATAAACTACATAACGTTTAAAAGTTATTTTAAAAACCTGAGTAAACAGTTTCACAATCTTAATAGTCTTTACACATTTTAAGAACTAACTATAGTCTCATTGATACATACGCACACATGTATATATGCGTATGTATACATATACACACATAACATATATATACATGGCACCAACAAACTCAACACTGGCAATAGAGTAGTTGCTGCCTTGTCTTGACTTTACACTGCTGCACATGCTGACATGTTACCAAGCACCAGTGATAGCAAACCCAGACATAGTAACAAGCCCTGCTTCACCTAAGCCCTTCGCTTCTGATTACTTGGGGCAAGAAAATCATATATTGGAAAACTGTGAACCAGTGCCTTAAGGCTTGTCAAATGATTAATATATATTTAATGGATGATTAATACTTATTTAATGGATGGTCCTTGGAGACTGCAACCTACCGTTTACTAATGTAGACAGGGATGAGTAAGTAACATTAAGGTGTGGCTCCTCCTTTATCTTATCACTACACTCGTATGTATGCTTTGTATGGAAAACTTTATTTGATAATAAAAATAGCATTCACAGACTTTCTCCTTCTTTGTTGCTACATCATATACATAGTGTCTGTTCCAAGGAAAGAAGCTCATACTGGGTAAGTCCACATCTACTCATACTAGTGTTATGTATAAACCCAGTAAGTCAAATAAAGCTATGAACAATGTAGTATTTATATATGCATAGTGTTTTATAAAAAAGATTGGCCCACATACTGCTTTTCATCAACACAGAAAAGAGCATTATGTCTATAGCACGTTGCAAGAAATGATGATTGAAGAACAGAGGCTGCATACAAGTGCTTAATGATACATAAGCAGGCCCACCATGAAGAAATTATATTCAAATCAACAGCTTTAGAATTACTTATATAGTCTCCCATTTTAAAACAGCTTTACATACCTGATTCAGTTTACATTAAAATATATCCCCTGAATCAATTTGTTCCATTTTCAGAAATATAAACACTTAATCACATTCCTCACAGCTAAATTTTGTCATAAATCCTCTTTTATACAAGAAAAAGGCAACAGTTTTGATTTTTTTTCCAACAGGCTCTATTAATTACAATTTAAACTGTACACACAATGATAGGCCATCTTCTTTCTTGGTTTTGTTTTTACAGTACCATGGCAACAACAGTGATAGACTTGCAATGATTTTTGTGTTCATATGGAAAATGTGAAACAGTATACATGTACACACCAATGCACTGTAAAAAGCAGCAGTTTACTTTAGTGGTCCAACAGTAACGGCAAACATTTTGGCTCAGCTAGGCAGTAATCCATTAAAATCTTATACCAGTACTACAGCAGACTTACCACACAACTTGCAAATTTAAAAATACAACTTGGAAAGTTGCAGGTTTTCCCTTTCGCTGCTGTTCTTAGATTCTAATTTACAGCATATAACCAGTATGGATAGGCTTCTACAACCAAGTTGTCCCAACGATTGCCTCTTTTTGCCTGTGTTTTTCCTTTGATACATCTTTTTTTTTTTTCTTTTTTTCCTTTTTTTTTTTTTCAGCAAGTGCACTCCTTTTGTCTCAGTAAGGATGAACCAGTAAAATAAAAAACTTAAATAAAGAGCGAGAAGAAGAGAGAGCTTTTGGAATTTGGCAAAATAAGGAAAACCCACTGGTTTTGCCTGAGCAGAAGGAATACACCTACTCCCAGAGGGAGAACTTTGCTCCCACCGCACTGTGCCTTGTCCCAGGATCCCGATCCCTTCCCTTGCTTCAAAGCAGACAAACAATACCATGCATGCTCGGGTTGCTGTCCATATACATCTAGAAGATGAGCAGGGCTGCGGCGGCTGCCTGAATGAAATATCGTTAAATGTCGCTGAGGCTAATGAGAGATCAACAGTCTACGTTAGCGTGTGACACAGGCATGGTGGTTACCAGTCCTTCTGCCTTTGCACGTCCTGTAGAGGGGGCCTGAACGTATAAACTGTTCACGGAACAAACTAGAAATTCCTTATCGTAAATCATCTTGTGCTGTGTGGGTTTGTATTTTTTTTTTATTATTTATTATTATTATAAATATCCTTCATTGAAACAGTAGTCTCTTCAAACAGTTCTTGCAATTTTAGGAACATTTGTCTCTTTCCTTTTTAATTCCTTCAGCAGGCTCCAGTCCTACTGAGATGAACAATTTTCTTCCTTCCCCACCCCCAACCCTTAAAAAATTTTCTAGATACAGTGTAGCAGTGAGTCAATAGAGAACAGTCTGGTTATTCAAACTTGGTGATAAAATCCTTTGCCTATATCATATTACTGGCTACCCCCATTTACTATATTGGGGAGGGGGGAAAGTAGCCCAATAAAGGAATTATTCTTAAGAAATCTACAAAGAATGTAGAAACGAAATTTTATAATCCTTTAGGACCAACATTTGGCAAGTAATTAAAAAAAAAGGAATACACCGAAAAATAGTTTCTTTAATAATATACATCAGGCACAACACTTTTTTATTTTTTTGTTTTCAGATTTCATCTGCATAAAAGGTTTGTAGGATCAGCAGGTGCCGGAGATCTCCTCGCCTGCGAAAGCCAGATGGTTTCAGCTCCCGCACTCTCTCCTGCGCTCCCGCGGCATGGGGAAGGTGACGGGGACCCCTCGGAGCCCCTCAGATGCTGAGGTCGGTGCTGCACTCCTTGTACGGCCGCCGGCGCTGCTCGGGTGGCTGCCTGAGTCTCTCCAGCGACCGCCGCCGGCGACCGGGCGACCGCTCCCGGCGCCTCTCGGGGGAGAGGTCTCTCCTCCTCTCGTGTCGCTCCCGCCTCTCCAAAGTGTTGTCAGCGCTCCGCGTCCCTTCCCTGCGCTTTTCAGGAGACCTCCTCTTCTGCCCGTTCACCATCGTCCTCTCCATCTGCCTCTCGCGCCTCCTCTCCGGCGACCTCTCCGTCCTCCTGCCTGGCACGTGGTCGTTGCTTTTAGAAGTCCCATTCCAAGTGTGGTGTTCGTTGGGATGTCTGCTAAACTCTCTGCTGCCTTTTAGGTCTCTAACGTAAGTCCGCTTGTCCCCATGTCTTGATGATTTGTGAAGGTCTGGTGGATAACTGGACTCCGATGATGGGTGCTGCCGTCGGTCGGATGGCACGGGTTTCATTTCCGATACATTTTGTGAACCTGTGGCGGGACTGTTCCTGTCACTGCTGGGGTCTGAAAGAAAATAACAGCAAAGCGTTTGGTACCGATGCCTTCCGTGGTGCCGTGACACCACTTATCACTCTTCAGACTTCATTAGTGACAAAAACAAACAACTGTTAAAGCAGTCAGCGAAGGCTAACCGAAGCTTTTGTTAATTTAACTGCGAACAACGAGAGTTACAGGTTAGTACTGGTGCTGCTCTGTTCGTTAGCCGTGTTTTGGTCCAAGCCGATATCATCTTTACGCTCTTCTGGTCATGGGGCATTTTACATTTTCCCCAAGCCCAACTCGTAATGTTTCGGTTACACTACTTTCTTTCCAGTGAAAAAAAAATATTGCAGTTCAGGTTGTTGGCTGTTTTTTAACGGTTTCCAATAAAGAGGGCCTTTAGGAAATGACTTTTTTTTAAGTTTTTTGAAAGAACCTCCTTCCGGGTGTGGGAGGCCTTGTTTCAAATAGCAGAAAATGTACAGAAAAAAGAATTGATTATTGAGTTTTCACCTCATAAAATAACATTTTGAAAGTGTGAGAATTAGACTGTAATCATGCAATTTCTATTTCATTTAAGACTTTACTTGGTCTCACTTAGTTCTACCATGTTATGAAAAGTCCTAGGGTAGATTTTGGTTTTGCCACAATGATTCAAACAACGATGACAGAAGTTATGATTTTTTCATATCAAAGCAATGGAAAGATATTGTAATATGTAGGATGGCTTTGATTAAAACCTAATCTCCAGTTCATTACTTCTAATGTAGTATGTCAGGTAAAATACAGCTGAGCTACCTCTGCAAGACAAACTGCAAAGCAGTAGAAAAAAAACCAACCCCCAAACTAAAAACCAGCCCTGCACTGCAGCTAAGCTACAATTATTCACATCATTTGTAATGGATGTTTGTGAATGATTCATTATAGACATGGCAAACACTAAAGGAGCTGTGCTGACTTTATGCGAGCGCAGCTTTTATTTGCTTATTGTTTCCTTTTTCAGAGTAACTTCTGCAGGGCAGCTCGGCTGGCGTTAGCTACGCTTCCTGCAGGCTCCCTGCCGCTCGCACCGACACCCATCTCGAGGTGGACTGTCCTGATGGCAACGGCTGAGAACCCTCACAAACATCTGTGGGGACAGGCTGCTTTTCCTGTTATCCTCCTTTTTGTCTTCCCTCCCCCAAGCCAAACACTCTACCTGCTCCTTCCTCCTGCCATCGCGCAAAGCGTCTCCCATTTGATGGCACTTCCATTCCTGAGCTTGGGAGGGTCAGTGTGTATATGGGCCATGATTTTTGTGATTTCCAGGTGAAACCCGTGTTGCGACTCACGTGTGTGCATTTTTGCTTATCAGCATTTTCAGGCAGCAGCTGGGGACCACACCGCTTTTTCCGTAGCTGTAAGCACGTGGCTTGCAGCCACCTGGCTATCGCACAAGGTACAAGCGAGGTTTAAACGTGTCCTGTGGTGTACTTACAATTCGGGGGACGCAGGGTGCTCAGAATGAATTGCTGTACATATAAAATATAGCGAAGCGGAAAGCAATGTGAGGGAATTAGGCCACAGCACAAAAACACCTAATATTGATTTTAGCTACAAACCGTAGTTTGATTATGGCCCATAAGGTAGAAGCAAGACTCCCCGAGCTTGTCATTTCTCATACATGCAGCGATATTAGGAGGTATCATCGCTGAGGAAGGAAGAGCCCAGCACCAAGAAAAGTAAGAGAAAGAGAAAGAGAAAAGTAGAAAATTTAGATTCCCTATAATAAAGATGAAAGAAAGAAAAATCTTCATATTTTATCTTAGAATAAAGAAAGTTTATTTTTCCAGTCAGATTGTCTAGGCTTCACCCAAATATAAGGCTGCAAAGACAGCAGTTGTTATTATCGTGACATAAAGAGACATCTAAGAGGTGATTCAATAACCCAGACAACGAGAGCATCCATTCTAAAAGACAGTTGAAACAGCGACACAGAATGTCATAGAAAAAACATTAACAATCAAACAACAACAAAAAATAAAGTCCACCAGAGACCACAACATTAAAAATAAGTACAAAACTCATTACAAAAATATACAGCCTCATAGAGAAGCACGTTCCAATCGAGTCAGAAAAATATTGGAACTTAACATTATTAGAGGAACCATTTGCGACTGCAGCGAACAGAACAGAGAGAGGAAGGTGTCCCAAATGTTACAAGGATATTCTTTACAGTAGTGCAACCCCTGTATATTAAATCCTTGCTTGGAGAATGAACGTTTAGTGGTTTAGCATTAGCCAAAAGAAAATTGGTGATGGATTTCCATCCTCAGTGCAACAGACATATGCTTTTAGAAGTGAAGCACTTAATTTACAGGGTATTTATGCAGTCTAGCATATGATACAGTACTGTACATCCAGAGGAGTATAGGAAAAGACAAAAGTAGAAAGAACATTACAGAATTTCAGTGCCATCATTGAACCTTCTGGTGTGCTATTTATATTACAGAAGTGTAAACCCACAACTTCCCTTCCATCTTGTTAAACACTTCAATTGTTTGTCAGTTATACTCTGAACTGGTCATTTTAAGTCAAATAATGAGCAGAGTGAGCAGAAACTCTCAAACGTGGTACAGTAAATGAAAAGAAAATCTAGTTCATAAATTGTGCAGAAGGGTTTTGCTTCTGGTTTTAGGACATGGAGTGAATGATAAACACAGAACTTACTGACACAGAAATAACCCAAATACGGGGAGAAAAGTACAAGGAACATCTCTTCAATCCTCAGTTTCTATAGAAACCTCAAAGACCTTTGGTTGGGAGTAGCCCTCCATCGAGGGCACAATATTTGACAATTATCTCAAATAAATAAGACATAATTATAATATTAAATAGTGTGCTATGTTAAGCCACCCAGCAATCCAACCTCCACGGAAGAAAAGGAAATCTAATGCAATACTTAGTAAGAAACAAAGATGGAATGTTTCCCCCAAGACAGACACGAGAGCACCTTTTCATAACCTCCTCACCTTTTCAGACCTTACAAATTAACTATTTGAAACCAGCAGACAGTTTAACGGGGGAGAAAAGGGCTCAGGAGGCCAAATAAATCTATTTTTGTAGTAAAGCTTTTGTTTTTTTCCTTCTTTCTTAAATAACTTTATAAATATTTACATAAATATTAAGGGAAGGCAAAAATCTCATAAGCCATCTTGGCATTCATGTCTACGGATACAGACAGGAACTTAGAGAAAAACCTAACAAAAAAATCACTGCTTCAGAATAATAACTCGAGATCCCAGTTTTTGCATTGATTAGAAGTAAAGACCTATTTAAAACAACAATTCAGCTGCTGAGAAACAGTTTGGCACAGTTCAATGACATTCCTTGTTTGACTGGACAAGACAATAAGGTTTGTTTTGTTTTGTTTTCCTCTCTGATCACCAAAAATACTGCTATGATGATCTTGCCTTACACTGCGCCCCAAGTCCATGGAAGCAAGCAAAGGATGAAATGTGTAGAAAATTCAGCACAAGCGAGGCAATTAACCATATGTTGCAAAGGTTGGTAAGACACTGGTGAGAAAGGAAAATAAAAAAGAATTCCCGCTTCAGATCTTGAGACAAATCATTCATGGAGTGATGCCAGGGAAGAAAGGAATGTTTTCATAGTTTGACCCACCATATTCTGGGACAGAGCCATCTCCACGTTTCAGAAACAGGCGGACCCTGCGGCCACCATTTTTAATCAGTTCGATGGCCCGAGCATGCTTCATGTTCTTGGTAGTTTCTCCATTGATCTCTAAGATTTCGTCACCGATCTGTCAATGTAATAAAAGAGTCTAATATTAGAAACAAACCCCCACGAGGGTCACCACCAGCACACCACAAGACAACAGTCACAGCAAAGGTGGAAGGACAACTATGCACCAGGCAAAGCTAAATACACGCAACTCCTTCCACTGACAGTCCACAAAAAACAGTATGCAGGGGCCTGGAAACATGAAGATGACAGGGAAAGCTTGAGGTAACAAAATATTTCATTGTTGTTCTGTATTATTTCATTGCTGTTTGTAAAACCACCTTGCATTACTGTATTCACAAAATCACAGAATGTTCGGGGTTGGAAGGGACCTCTGTGGGTCATCTAGTCCAACCCGTCACCCTCAGAGGGAAGAAGTTCTTCCTCATCTTCAGACAGAACTTCCTGTGCTTCAGTTTGTGCCCATTGCCCCTTGTCCTGTCGTTGGGCACTACTGAAAAGAGCTTGGCCCCATCTTCCTGACACCCACCCTTCAGATATTTGTAAGTATATATTAGGTCCCCTCGCAGCCTTCTCTTCTTCAGGCTGAACAAGCCCAGCTCCCTCAGCCTCTCCTCGTAGGAGAGATGTTCCAGTCCCCTCACCATCCTTGTAGCCCTCTGCTGGACTCTCTCCAGCAGCTCTTCATCTTTCTTGAACTGGGGAGCCCAGAACTGGACACAGTACTCCAGATGAGGCCTCACCAGGGCAGTGTAGAGGGGAAGGAGTATTTCTCTATAGCTAGAGCTGTGTTAGAACTGGTGTTACTTTATTTTATTTTGATTATTTCTAAACTCTTTGGTCAAAGTGGTTGTTTTACAGTCTGCTGTAACTGGGATGTTCAAATGCTTTTTGAGATCTGTTTCTCACTTGGATCTAGATACCTACTATGAACCAGAAAACCTGCTTTTGTAAATAAAATCATTTATCAGGATAGGAAAAAAAGGCTTGGAAGAGCTTGTCAAAGCATTGACTTCCACAGGGCAGCACTGATTTATTTCCATCAGAAATAATTTTGGACTTGTAAATCTACCCCTAGCAAAAGAATTTTGAAAACACCCTTCGCATGATATACCTGAAGAAGACATACGCTGTAAAGTTATCATGCATTCTCTAACAGACGAGCAAGGAATATGTAGAACTTGGCAATTTAATTTTTCTGTAGGCATTTTATAACATATGCCCTTGTTATAAAGTTTATAATTTATCTGATGTGAAGTTAACACTTAATACTAATCAAAAACTACACTATAATTTTGTAACCTGTGGGTCAATACACATGCTCCCTCACCACTCTGCCCACTGGCAGAGGAGAGGATGAGATGGAACACCTCGATTCTTTCTTCATGGCTGCAGCCTTAAAGGAGCTGACAAAGAGTGTGGCTATTACATTTTCATTTCTACACATATCTTCGTTAAGCTTTAAAAGTCAGATTATTTATTAGAATTTGGAAACCTGGGTTGGAACAAGGGGTTGAAATCTTCCAATGGACACACACTGTTATAGAGGGTATACAAAAAGTGACAGAAGTCAGTGACAGAAGTAAATAGGAATCACTGCTCATTTCAGGTAACATATGATTCTCCTCTTAGCTTGCATAGCAGAAGGTGCGCCTGTAGGGGAGAGGCAGGGAAGTCAGCTTATTGCAAAGAAGCATGTTTCTTAAATCAGATTGTGCATACCCTCATCTTCCCACATCTCTCAGCTGGACCATCCTCAGCTAGCCGCAACACGTACAGATCCATATTATATTCCCGGCCGCCTCGCAGGCTAAAGCCAAACCCTTTGGCTCCTCTTTCCAGCTCAACAGTGTAAAAGTCTTGGTCCTGCTGGAGGGAAGACAACATATGTGCAATTGAACAGAAAGTTAAATGCTTTTCTACTCTCATTTTTAAATTATTCAACCAAAGAATATTATTTTTGTTACTCATAAATAAATCAAGAAAATCAGTTGAGTTTTCACACACCAACAAGGATTTCCTGCTTCCTCAGATCCCACCCAGAAATTTGGAGTGCTGGCAGTGGTCTGCAAATGGCTGTTTGAATGAATGGGCTTGGCCATGTCCCACACATCTTTAGGCACCTCTGTTGCAACGCACCTCCTGTGCCCATGCAGAAAGGGCTTATTTCTGGAGTTCTACCAACTGCAAAGGGGCACCAGGGCAACCTCACTTCCAGCGCCGGGCTTCAGTTAAAAGCCTCACGGTACCTGGGATGAGTCTATGCCATGCTGCTGGCTTTTCCTTTTTGTTACCACCTCATCCATGCCTTTACAAGAAGCTCAGAAGCACATGCATTGTTTTTCACAAATTCTGCTAGTGTAGGGATGTTCTGAAGTCTCTAACGGCAGAGTTTACTTCTGGGATGGCCAGTGGTAAGGAAAGTGAACAGTGAGCCAGATAATCTCTCTAAGAGATGTTGTCTCAGAAAGCTAGAACACTCCAGCTATTGCCTTTTATTAAGTTTTACTCTTTTTGTCCTCTGAATTCATCGTTTGCACAAAACAGGACTTTCTGGAGAGGCCCCTCAAAATATACAACTCAATAAACAAACACATAAATTATTACTGTTGTAAAAATGTCAGCTTTTTTTTTTCTTTCTTTCTTTTTTTTTCCTCCCTAAAAGTCTTGATGAGAATGTGTTGGAAATGTTTCTCATCTGAAACAGCAGCAACACATACTAAGAAACTAATCAGCAAATTCCTCTTTCTCCAGCAAACAGACTGAGGGAGAACAACTTTCCAGTAGGAATTTTCCAGAGAAATATTTCAACACAGCCCTCAAGCAGATTTGAAGCAACAGTCTGTGGTAAACAAAACAATTCAAAAAGTACTGCTTACCTGTGCTGCTTGGGGTGGTTTGAAATCGAACTGGGATTCCTGCTTTGGTTTGGTGTTGTTCTTGCTGTAACGAACGACAGAAAGAGAGAGAGAGAGGAAAAATACAGCTCATGGGACATGAAGATGATCAAGCAGGAACCAAAGAGAGAGCATGTCAACATGCTCGTCTGAAGGAAAACAATCTGACCTGGTCTCCTGCGGTATTTGCTGAGGAGTATGTGTGGTGGTAATTGTAGCAATTTTTTCTGCATTGGTCAATAAAGTAGCATTGGAGGATTCTGCAAAATAATTTTTTTTTTTTCATTATGAAGGAAGGCTATTGGCTGTTCACTGATAAAACAAAAGTTTTACAAAGGCATTTCACTGGAAAGCATCTTCATGTTGTTTTTAAAGAACTTGAGATTGGCTCAGATTTCTTAAATCCAAAAATCAACTGGATAAAGTCTAAGCTACCCCATAGTAATTATGTATATGAAACTGTACAGCACCACAATTGCAGAGAAATATTGGTCTTTGAGTTGCACGTTGAAACTTAACGTGATAGATCCCTTATGGCTCAGCTTTTTTCTGGTATCTGTCATCAGACGTACCAAATTACTGTGTAATCTGTTTTTTTTCTGTGCAACACAAAAACTTCTAAACACCCCTAACCAACTAGGAAACACTCTCATATAACTGCTGCTCTATCCTATGCTCTTGAAAAAGTCAAGGCTTTAGTGAAGGCATCATATTTAGCTTAATCATCACGGCAAAGGCTAATTAGCAAAAAATGTGTGTACCAGAAACTGCCACAGCTACCCATCACAAATATTGTAGAGCAGGGAGTCAAATATTTATATATATTTATACAATATATAGTCTACTTGCATAATAAATACACAAATCAGTTTTGGTTTCTTTTTTTCCAGTAGCCATATACATCAGCACTCTCATTAATCTCAAGAAATACCCGAGGCCACTCAACTGGAAAAAGCAAGGGAAAAAAAACCCACAACGAATGAAAAAAAAAAATAATTGGGAAATCTGTATTAGAAATATCTCTGATGATTAGACACACTCAGAACAAAGACCGACTTGTGGAGGAAGGGCTGAAAGATGTTTTGTCTGTTTTCTAACATCATGAATTCCAATCATTAAACTCTCCAAATATGGTAGGTTGACTGGATTAATTTTATAGGAGCAAAAACTATTCCATGGATTATAAGCTTATCAGCGCTTCCTCCATCAGAAACTGCAGTCTTCAGTAGGATTGAGATGTGGCTTTTATCTAATACCTCACAAGGTGATATTGAATGTGGATAAAACCAAAACTTTCTGAAATCCATCTCTGAAATACAACCCACTGTTGCCTGAGCACTCAAAGCTGCACGCAGGGACGTGGAACTACCTGTACCAAATGCATCAGAAGCTCTGGCTACCACTTACAAAAGGGCTCATCAAGAGAATACAGAGGAGACGATTAATTTCAAAACTCAGTTTATGTCACAGTAAAGGGCTCTCAGTCCACACAGCAGCCAGTGAAAATGCCGTATTTCTCTAAGCACAGAAGGAGGCGCTTCCAGGAGAGGTCCTCTCTCCTGCTTTGCAAAACTCGGAAGGGAGTTGCTGTAGGCACAACTGAAAAAGGACTATCTAGGTGTCCCTCACAGCAGGGCATGGCAAAATGGTCCCCTTGTCATTTTGGAGCTTTATCATAGACTTCAATAATATCAGAGTAAATCCAGGACTGATTTAAAATTCTGCCTAAAATTAAGGTCATGCATCTTGTTTCTTGATTAAATTTCTCTAGTTCCAACCCCACTTAAAAAAAAGCCACCAACAGACAACAGCAATGAAAACTGGGTGGAAACATCTGGCTTTCCAACATAAAATTACAAGGTCTTCTACCCTGCCCTTGTTTGCCTCTTAAGCTTCAGGCATCCAGTAATTAATTTTATTGAGTATGGAGAAATCTGCCATTATTTAACAGAGTCCAGCTGTAATACAAAATTACAGGAATGGGAGGGTTTGTGCCTGAAATAAGGAGAGGTGGTGGTCATGTTCTTACTTGGTCCTGGGAACCTATTTTACTTCATGGATATATGTTAATTGTGGAGATATCTAGACAAGGTGAAGGTTTTTCCTTTCTGTGCATTTCTAAGGAAACTTGGGAAAAGGGAAAG